GGTTGTAATTGCCTCATTTGCATGGCAAGTTGCATCATTTGAATTGTGTTGTTGCTGATAGAGATCAATTACCATAAGAACTTTTTTTTGTGCACTACAGGTGGGGATTGGGTGGTGGAGGTTGTGGTTGTGAACCGGTTGTGGTTGTGGTTGTGAACCGGTTGTGGTTGTGAAGCTTCAAACTGACTGGTGCACAATTACACCAGCAACAATCATTTGGTGAGTACTTCTGCTGTGAGGTTTGAATCCAACAATGACTCTGAGAAGAATCTTTCTCCAGAGTCCTTTGGCAATGGCTCTCATTTGGAAATGCTTGTCTAGACCAACAGCTTGTGCCATTTCATTCAGGTAAGCCAACTCTGAATGGTTCCAATATGGAACAACCTTCTCCCATCCAGCTGGAATTGACTTCCTTTCTGCCACACTGATTCTTGACAGGAAGCTCTCTTGTGCAATCTTGTAGGTTGTATCTAGCAGTGCAGCAAGTTGAGTGCATCAGCAAGGCTCCTCTCATTCCACCTTCCAAAATGGGCAAACTTGTCATGGAAAGCCTCTAACTTTGACTCTCCTCTCCTTGAAAGGTACTCTGGAGATTGTGTCTTGGATTGGAGAGGTGGATTGTGTCATACATTCTTCCAGTGCCAGGGATCAGCCAAGTGACCTGCTTTTCACACAGTTCTCTACAGCTGGCTTGGTGTCTTGAGTAACAGGTATAGTTCTTGCTGGATCGAGTCGGCCCTGTCCTGCTGGCTACCATCACTGGCTGTCAACTTGTATCTGCAGAACCACTGTTGCAGTCTTGCTCATGGTCTCTGGTTCTCTCATCTTCTTCCTTAGTACTTGGAGTACCAGCTCTGAAGACCTTGGAGGCTTGCATTTCTGAATCTCTGCCAGGGAGTGCTTGCCATTGGGGACAAGGGCATGTTTCAAAGCAGAGGACCTTTATAGTCATCTGGTGAGTACTAAAGGCATCAAGAGGTTGACATGCTTGAAGTACAATGTGACCCTTCCTCAAAGTGACAGAATCCTTTTCTCATAATGAACAGGCCAAGTCTTCCTCGATACCTGGAAAGAGCAGTCTCCCAATAGTCATCCTTGTTGGGCCAGGTGTCGCTGTACATGGCAGCTGGATTGAAGTTGCTCCTCCTTGCTACGTGCATGGAATACTGCCATCTCCTTTCCAGTCACCTCCAACACCGAATGGCTGCTGTCAGAGATACTGCCAGTGGTTGACTCATAGGAGAGGAAGACCACCTCATGATCATAATTGCCAATCAAGATTGACTGGGTATGGGAAGTAGCAACAAGCAATCAATGTTTAGATCCACCAAATTCATTTCTAATTTAGCCAGTAACTTACATATCATTGCCAATGAAATCAACAACCATAGTCTCACTCATCTCAGTACATTTCTTGAAGGAAATCTTCTTCTTGTAGTCAATCCAGTGGCAACAATAATAATGCCAAGCATCCATCACACTCTGTCCTTCGAGGGAGGACAACTCATAGCTCTCACTGACCCTTTCCCTCACTAACCAGTAGATGCACTCAATCAAGATGTCCTTCCTTTCACAGGGATGTGGCGACGGCGACTCCAGCATTTCAGAGAGGGTGGAGATGACAGCTCTGTACCATTTTGGACTTTTCTGAAGGCCTGAAGCTAACATATAATCCATGATGTCGGTCATGGCAGGAGGAAGTGGCTTGCATGCTCCTTGCAATATCAACTCCTCAAGAACGGTCACTTCCATGCTGGTTGTGGCCAAACAGAAGTTGTCCTCCTCATCACTGTTGTACCCACAAATGACATACTTGCAATTGAATCCTTGCCTTGTTACCCTCAGCTCATTGAATGGGTATCTGTTGACACTTTGCAGCCACTTGGTGAAGGCGGGAGAAGTAGTTGGGATCCTCATTGTCGGTTGTCGTCCGTAGAGGAAGGAGCGGTAGTCGTCCATAGAGGAAGGAGCGGACGGAGCGGAGCGTCGGTAGAGGAAGGAGTGTCTGTAGAGGAAGGACGACGTTCGAACGGGGGACGATAGAACGATTAGTAGCATGCCATGGTCGCCATTGTGGCTAACAACAACAGCAACAACAACAAACAACAACACCGACAACAACAAACAACAACACCGACAACACTCACCAGCAACAGGTTTCGAAAATAATGGGAGGGTTTGGTTGGAGCGAAGGATTGGGAAAGAGCCAGTGGGTATCCGTTGAATCAATTTGAATTTGACATCAACGAACAACGAACCTCTACTTCCTGACGTATTTTCCTGTTCTTCGGATGTCTTAGAGGGGAGAAGAGTTATGGGAGTGTTGGAGTCATTGCCGTTTCCCCTCTCTCTGTGTATTTGCCAGGTGTCGAAATGACTGAATCAAGCCATGCATGCTCTCAACGTCGGAATTGGGAATCCAACTGATAACCCTCTCCCTTTCTTTTTTCTTTTCCCTCCCCCGCGCTGCTGCCTAACCCCCCCATAAAGTCCCAACTAGGGACTAGCTAGAACAGCAATGCATCAAACTGCCTCTCCTTCAAACACTGCTTGGTTCTCCGCGACACGACACGAGTGTTTTCGCCATGACTGGGATATCGATGACGAGCCTTCTTTCTTCCAGCTCAACCGGCTTCAGAAAAGAGTTCCGCTTTTTGCCACCTCATTTTTTGGTCACTATCGTATTGCCTTCCCTGCCTCCTGTTTGTTCCACATCCGATGACCATGCAAGGAGAAGAATCGATTCTGTTGCATAACCTTGCATAGGCATGACGCTGTTTGGCAGTGTCAGGATCACGGTCTCCGATTGAGTTTGTTGAAAGAGGATCTTCGAATGATTCATTCGCCCTCAAAAATCTTGGTTCGACCTTGAAGACATGATGATCTCGCCTTTGTCCAAAGCGGGACAGATGGCCTCTGTCAAGAGGAATGAATCAGAGACACATTTGCTAGCTGGCTCTGTTGAATCAGTGCATTGAGTCGAACAGAATCTTGGAGAAACAAAAAGCTGACAGTTGGAGCCATCAGCAAGGAGGAAACAATTCGGTTCCGCATTGGCTTCTCCCATGACAATCTCTCATTATACGAATATACCTTCGATTTAATACTGCAAATAATGAGCTTCTCAAGCAAGCTTTGGCTGCTTCTGGCGGTGCTACCCGTTACGGGCGCCTATGTTACCTCACACGGTGCTGTTCCTGTGAAAAGACAACAAAAATGGTTGAGGGTGAGAAATGCCAATGTTGAACCATGTTTGGAAGGTCCCTTCTCTTCTTTCTAATAACCACTAATATCTGATCTCTACACACAGGAAATGACAACCGATATTTGTCAGCAGCCACCAGGAGAGCTCACAGAAGACATGCTTCAAAGGACACCACACCTTATGCATGCCTGGTCTGATGCCAGAATTGGAGGAGGCAAGGAATCTGCTTTGGCTCTGGAATCTCTCTTGGTGAGGTTGGCCGAGGAAAGAAGCATGGGGAATGATCAAGCCATTGCCTCAACCGAGGATTACAATTGTTTACTTGAGGTCTGGGCTCACTCCAGATCGGGCATTGCAGCAGCTGAAAGATGTGAGCAAATATTGACAGAAATGGAAGATCGATTCAAACTAGGCGACAACACTGTGAAGCCAGATTTGAAATCGTTCAAAGCGGTTTTAATGGCGTGGAAGTTGGCAGACGGGGCCAAGTTTGCCGCCGTGAGAGCACAGCGCATTTTGGAATGGACGATTAGGCTGGCATCGACTGGTGAAAACGAGGATGTGCTACCGGATGCAGATTGCTTTGACATTGTCTTGCAACTATGGTCCAGGTCGGGTCTTCCCGATGCTCCTGCGAAGACGGAGCAACTCGTGGTGGCTATGGAACGGTTGTATTTTGCGACAAAGATGGATTCTGTCAAACCGAGGACTGCTTCATATAATGCTGTGTTGGCGGCATGGTGCAAATCAAAGAAAGGAGGAGCAACAACTCGCGCTTACCAAATTCTGGGCTTTATGGAAGGAAGAGCTCAAGCAGGTGATGTTGCGGCTGCTCCAGACGAAGCATCTTATACCGCCGTTGTCAGCAGCTTGTTGAAGAGTCCAGGCGCCTTGAGTGCCAGGAGGGCCGAAGACATCCTGCGTCAGGCCGAAGCCCGAATTGCACCCCAGGCCCCTGACACAATCTTGTACAATACTGTGATTGGATGCTGGGCGAGATGTAACAAGGGCAAAGCGTACAGGAAAGCACGGTCAATACTGGATAGACAAATCAACAACTTTGAACATGGATCGAAGAGAAGCAAGCCAGATGTGTATGGGTTCACCTCGGGTAAGTGCTAAGTTGCGCTGTGAAGTGACCTTCGACACACCGCATTCAATGTCCTTACGCCTGTCGCCACCATACACATGTCTTGATACCAGTCATTGCGAGCTGTTCCATGGAACCAGGCGGTCGCGAGGAACGCACGAAAGCTTTTCACGTTGCACTGGGAGCCTTTCAACAAATGAATCGCTATGATAAGCCAAACCATGTGACTTATGGAACGATGTTGAAAGCTTGCGCTCGTCTGCTCCCGGAAAATGACTATTTGCGGCACAAGTGGGCCAAGAAGATCTTCCGTCAGAGTATCCGAGATGGTCTTGTGGGTGACATGGTAATCAGTCGAATGCGGGAGTCCGTGTCACCGCCAATTTTCAGGGACCTTATGCAGGGGCATTCAAGGCGCAACCTTCCCGAAGCATGGTTTTGCAATGTTCATGAGAAAAGGAAGGAAAGGGCCCAGGGGGGAAACAAGAAGAGACGCAAACGAGCCGAGGTGTAAACTGTGTGAAACTACAAGAGAGCTTCCACGTGCATGAATAGATAATTGAATAGAAGAAAGAGTATACTAGTAGAAGAGGAAGAAGTTTGAGTTTTCGCTCATCTTGACAGAGACAATCAATAACCAAAAGGATACCCTGCAGATTTGTGCTTCATGCGTGCCTGTGACCAACAACCGCTGTACCACCTATCTACCGTACGGTAGAACAGTGCATTTTCCACCGAGGTACAAGAACCCAAGTAGTACCGGGTCGTCTACAGTGCAGACGTTGGTGCGATGGTTGGAAGTTGCAGGAGATTCCGGAGTCAGAGGAATCCTACAATTAGCAAGTGCTGTTCTGCTCCGTTTCTTCCTGGGGACAGGGGAACCTCAACAGACACCGGAACTGGCGGGCGGTAGCTGCAAAATGAGCATGAAGATGGGACGAATCATGACTCATCACACGGTACGGGTCCAGCACCATCATAGCGTGAGCCGAATTGCAAGAGCACGTAGTGCACCAGGAGCTCTTGGCAAACCGTTAAATTCCTGTGATTGCCCGACAGAGTCCACATCCCCGTGTATCGTGTCGGCTTGCTTGAGTTTACAATCAACTTTGCACTGCATCCACGCCCTTCCTTTCGCTTCAGTTGCTCCCGGTTGCCCTCAACTACCAGCTAGCAAGCTGAGGGCCTTTTGAACTTTATCTTGTGTGTGTGTGTGTGTGTGTGTGTGTGTGTCGCGTACATATGGTCCGGTTTCCCTTGGAAGGTTAAGGCTAGCGAGCAAACCAGATACCGGTACATATGGTGCGGTTTCCCTTGCAAGGTTAAGGCTAGCGATCAAACCAGATACCCTTGCAAGGTTAAGGCTAGCGAACACTTCCTTGGCCTTTAGAAAAATGCAAGTTGAGGGCACTAGCCTCCGGCTGTCTGTCCTTTCTTTTGTGCCAAAACCAGGAGAGATCTGGAGATTGCCGCGATCCGAGATGTCGACTCGCTCGACTCGACTGAGGACTCTATGACCCCCAGATCTCACACATTTATCGATCTGGCACGGCTTGCTCTCCACGTGCTCCCGGGACCAGCTGAAGGACCATGAAACCTAAGTAAGGAAAGACGCTCACAGAGAGAGAAAGAGAGAAACACGGCACTGCACAACGTCACCGCACTTCGCAAGTGGTCCTTCGGGTCTACCACAACGGCAGGTTCAGCCGACTCGGCGGATTTGATAGGTTCGTCGTCGTCGTTGGCGCATTGTAGAGTGCTTTATCCTTAGGCGCCATTGGCTGCTTTCTCCTCACTTTTTCCTCAGTTGGTACGACCGTAGTTAGAACTCAGTGTTCTGAAACCTCTTGTGGTAGTGTTTCTATTGTATTAGTTGCAATGGTTGTTGCTGTGTTGGGTGTTGTGGCGCAGTACTGTACTGGCGGTATGTCAGGTGGGACCGTACCAGGTACCGGTGGGTAAAGTCATTGCCTGTCTCTCAGTTGCATGTTGACGTGGGAAACGGTAGTCGCGCAATGACGTGGTCGTGAGAATAGCATTTGAGTCCTCAGTCGAGTCGAGCGAGTCGACATCTTGGATCGCGGCAATCTCGAGATCTCTCCTGGTTTTGGCACAAAAGAAACCGGGAGCAACTGAAGCGAAAGGAAGGGCGTGGATGCAGTGCAAAGTTGATTGTCAACTCAAGCAAGCCGACACGATACACGGGGATGTGGACTCTGTCGGGCAATCACAGGAATTTAACGGTTTGCCAAGAGCTCCTGGTGCACTACGTGCTCTTGCAATTCGGCTCACGCTATGATGGTGCTGGACCCTACGTCGGGGTACCGTGTGATGAGTCATAATTCGTCCCATCTTCATGCTCATTTTGCAGCTACGGCCCGCCAGTTCCGGTGTCTGTTGAGGTTCCCCTGTCCCCAGGAAGAAACGGAGCAGAACAGCACTTGCTAATTGTAGGATTCCTCTGACTCCGGAATCTCCTGCAACTTCCAACCATCGCACCAACGTCTGCACTGTAGACGACCCGGTACTACTTGGGTTCTTGTACCTCGGTGGAAATGCACTGTTCTACCGTACGGTAGATAGGTGGTACAGCGGTTGTTGGTCACAGGCACGCATGAAGCACAAATCTGCAGGGTATCCTTTTGGTTATTGATTGTCTCTGTCAAGATGAGCGAAAACTCAAACTTCTTCCTCTTCTACTAGTATACTCTTTCTTCAATTCAATTATCTATTCATGCACGTGGAGGCTCTCTTGTAGTTTCACACAGTTTACACCTCGGCTCGTTTGCGTCTCTTCTTGTTTCCCCCCTGGGCCCTTTCCTTCCTTTTCTCATGAACATTGCAAAACCATGCTTCGGGAAGGTTGCGCCTTGAATGCCCCTGCATAAGGTCCCTGAAAATTGGCGGTGACACGGACTCCCGCATTCGACTGATTACCATGTCACCCACAAGACCATCTCGGATACTCTGACGGAAGATCTTCTTGGCCCACTTGTGCCGCAAATAGTCATTTTCCGGGAGCAGACGAGCGCAGCTTTCAACATCGTTCCATAAGTCACATGGTTTGGCTTATCATAGCGATTCATTTGTTGAAAGGCTCCCAGTGCAACGTGAAAAGCTTTCGTGCGTTCCTCGCTACCGCCTGGTTCCATGGAACAGCTCGCAATGACTGGTATCAAGACATGTGTATGGTGGCGACAGGCGTAAGGACATTGAATGCGGTGTGTCGAAGGTCACTTCACAGCGCAACTTAGCACTTACCCGAGGTGAACCCATACACATCTGGCTTGCTTCTCTTCAATCCATGTTCAAAGTTGTTGATTTGTCTATCCAGTATTGACCGTGCTTTCCTGTACGCTTTGCCCTTGTTACATCTCGCCCAGCATCCAATCACAGTATTGTACAAGATTGTGTCAGGGGCCTGGGGTGCAATTCGGGCTTCGGCCTGACGCAGGATGTCTTCGGCCCTCCTGGCACTCAAGGCGCCTGGACTCTTCAACAAGCTGCTGACAACGGCGGTATAAGATGCTTCGTCTGGAGCAGCCGCAACATCACCTGCTTGAGCTCTTCCTTCCATAAAGCCCAGAATTTGGTAAGCGCGAGTTGTTGCTCCTCCTTTCTTTGATTTGCACCATGCCGCCAACACAGCATTATATGAAGCAGTCCTCGGTTTGACAGAATCCATCTTTGTCGCAAAATACAACCGTTCCATAGCCACACGAGTTGCTCCGTCTTCGCAGGAGCATCGGGAAGACCCGACCTGGACCATAGTTGCAAGACAATGTCAAAGCAATCTGCATCCGGTAGCACATCCTCGTTTTCACCAGTCGATGCCAGCCTAATCGTCCATTCCAAAATGCGCTGTGCTCTCACGGCGGCAAACTTGGCCCCGTCTGCCAACTTCCACGCCATTAAAACCGCTTTGAACGATTTCAAATCTGGCTTCACAGTGTTGTCGCCTAGTTTGAATCGATCTTCCATTTCTGTCAATATTTGCTCACATCTTTCAGCTGCTGCAATGCCCGATCTGGAGTGAGCCCAGACCTCAAGTAAACAATTGTAATCCTCGGTTGAGGCAATGGCTTGATCATTCCCCATGCTTCTTTCCTCGGCCAACCTCACCAAGAGAGATTCCAGAGCCAAAGCAGATTCCTTGCCTCCTCCAATTCTGGCATCAGACCAGGCATGCATAAGGTGTGGTGTCCTTTGAAGCATGTCTTCTGTGAGCTCTCCTGGTGGCTGCTGACAAATATCGGTTGTCATTTCCTGTGTGTAGAGATCAGATATTAGTGGTTATTAGAAAGAAGAGAAGGGACCTTCCAAACATGGTTCAACATTGGCATTTCTCACCCTCAACCATTTTTGTTGTCTTTTCACAGGAACAGCACCGTGTGAGGTAACATAGGCGCCCGTAACGGGTAGCACCGCCAGAAGCAGCCAAAGCTTGCTTGAGAAGCTCATTATTTGCAGTATTAAATCGAAGGTATATTCGTATAATGAGAGATTGTCATGGGAGAAGCCAATGCGGAACCGAATTGTTTCCTCCTTGCTGATGGCTCCAACTGTCAGCTTTTTGTTTCTCCAAGATTCTGTTCGACTCAATGCACTGATTCAACAGAGCCAGCTAGCAACTGTGTCTCTGATTCATTCCTCTTGACAGAGGCCATCTGTCCCGCTTTGGAAAAAGGCGAGATCATCATGTCTTCAAGGTCGAACCAAGATTTTTGAGGGCGAATGAATCATTCGAAGATCCTCTTTCAACAAACTCAATCGGAGACCGTGATCCTGACACTGCCAAACAGCGTCATGCCTATGCAAGGTTATGCAACAGAATCGATTCTTCTCCTTGCATGGTCATCGGATGTGGAACAAACAGGAGGCAGGGAAGGCAATACGATAGTGACCAAAAAATGAGGTGGCAAAAAGCGGAACTCTTTTCTGAAGCCGGTTGAGCTGGAAGAAAGAAGGCTCGTCATCGATATCCCAGTCATGGCGAAAACACTCGTGTCGTGTCGCGGAGAACCAAGCAGTGTTTGAAGGAGAGGCAGTTTGATGCATTGCTGTTCTAGCTAGTTGCCCTAGTTGGGACTTTATGGGGGGGTTAGGCAGAGCGCGGGGAGGAAAAAGAAGAGAAGAGGGAGAGGGTTAACCTTTGGATTCTGATTCCCGTTTGAGAGCCTGCATGGCTTGATTCAGTCATTTCGACACCTGGCAAATACACGAGAGAGAGGGGAAACGGCAATGACTCCACACTCCCATAACTCTTCTCCCCTAAGACATCCGAAGAACAGGAAAATACGTCAGGAAGTAGAGGTTCGTTGTCAAATTCAAATTGATCAACGGATAGACTGACTGGCTCTTTTTCGCTCTTTTTCCCATCCTTCGCTTGCACCAGACCTTCCCATTATTTTCGAAAATCGACCGAAACTCGCAGCAACAGCAACAACAACAACTCTCGGAGCACCAGCAACAACAACCACCACAACATAGCATACTTTTGCGCGCTATTTGTCTTGAAGTCAGCGACTACATCCGTAGGGGCAAGTACTCTTGGCAAGACGGATCGGCGTGCAACGAGATCGGAGATCGGGATCGGAGATCGCTCAACAACAAAAACACGAAACTATCCACAATGACCATGAGGATCGCTACAAGCCTTCTTCTCCAAGTGCTGCTTAGTGTAAAGAGATACCCATTCAATGAACTGAGGGCAACAAGGCATGGGTTCACCTGCAAGTATGTGATTTTCGAAGGACAGTATGCACCAGATCGCCGATTCAGCAACAAGGAGAAGCACCACTGTCTCGCGCAATCGAATTTACAGGGCACATCTTGAGGAGATGATTTGCAAGGAGGATGCAAGCCTTTCCTCCTGACATGACAACACATGGATTACATGTACTATTGGGGACCTCAGAAGAGTCGGCCATGGTACAGAGTGTTCTCTCCACCCTTTATGAAATGCTTGGGGACCAGATGGCTGGAGAGAGAAG